GAGGATTGCCAAAACTAAAATTTGATAAAAATAAAATATGTGATGCTTGTGGTAAAGGAAAACATCAAAGAGCTTCCTTTAAGTCCATTAATGATTTATCAACTAGTAGAGTATTATAATTGATCCATTTAGATCTTTTTGGTCCAATTAGGACTATTAGCTTAGGTGGAAAACAATATTGTTTTGTATTGGTAGATGACTATTCTAGATATACTTGGGGTTCTATTTTTAAGTACTAAAGATGAAGCATTAGAAAAATTCATCACGTTTTCAAAAGTAATCCAAAACGAAAAAAGTTACTCTATAACTAGTGTTAGGAGTGATCATGATACTGAATTTGAAAATCTTGGATTTACTGATTTTTTTAATTCTAATGGTATTAACCATAATTTTTTAGCACCAAGAACCCCTCAACAAAATAGAGTTGTTGAGAGGAAAATTGAACTTTAGAAAAAATGGTTAGAACCATGCTTTGTGAAAACAATTTGCCAAAATATTTTTGGGCGAAAGCCACAAATACCGCTTGTTATGTTATAAACTGAGTAATAATTAGGCCAATTTTAAAGAAAACTCCATATGAACTTTTCAAAAATAAAAAGCCTAACATTAGTTATTTTGATCATTTTGGATGTAAATGTTTTGTTTTAAACAACGGTAAAAAAAATCTTGGCAAATTTGATGCTAAAAGTGATGAAGGAATTTTTTTGGGTTATTCCTTAAATTCTAAAGTTTATCGGGTTTTTAATAAAAAACTTTAGTTATAGAAGAGTCTATACATGTTGTTTTCGATGATAATCCCCTTCCGAGGAAGGATTCTTGTGTCGATGATGACGTAGGTATTATAAAAGCAAATGATGTTAGACATGACATTAGAGAACCATCATCAAAGGAATAAACGAAATATGAGGAAACTCACGATGTTCTCGAGAATCCAACCATTTAAGAAAGGAAAGTCTCTTACCCAAGAGAATACAACTATGTCAAGGATGATGAGATAATAGGTGATCCATCCAAAGGGGTGACAACTCGATCTTCTCTTAGAAATATATGTAATTACGTTGCATTTATTTCATGCATAGAGCCTAAGAATATCAAAGAAGCATTAGATGATGAAAATTGGATTATGGTTATGCAAGAAGAATTAAATCAATTTTAGAGAAGTAAAGTATGAACATTAGTTGAAAGGCCTAGTAATAAATCTACTATAGGTACTAGATGTGTATTTAGGAATAAGCTTGATGAAAGTGGTAATATAGTAAGGAACAAGGCTAGACTTGTTGCTCAAGGATATACTCAAGAAGAGGGCATAAACTATGATGAAACATACGCTCCCGTAGCTAGGATGGAAGCAATTAGAATGTTATTAGCATTTGCATGTTTCAATGAATTTAAATTATATCAAATGGATGTTAAAAGTGCATTTTTAAATGGTTTTATAAAATAAGAAGTGTATGTGGAACAACCTCCTGGTTTTGAAGATTCAAAATTTCCAGATCATGTTTTTAAATTGCCAAAAGCACTTTATTGTTTAAAACAAGCTCCTAGAGCTTGGTATGAAAGACTGTCAAACTTTTTAATTAAAAAAGGTTTTTCAAAAGGGAAGGTTGACACTACATTGTTTTTACGCATAAAGGTAAAGATTTATTAGTAGTTCAAATTTATGTTGATGATATAATATTTGGTTCTACTAATGATGCTCTTTGCCAAGAATTTTCTAAGCTAATGCATAGTGAATTTGAGATGAGCATGATGGGGGAGCTCTCATTTTTCTTGGGACTCCAAATCAAGCAAAGAAAAGATGACATCTTCATCAATAAAGCAAAATACGTCAAGGATATGCTCAAAACATTTGGATTGGAAAATGGGAAACCTCATACCACTCCAATAAGTTCATCAACAAAGCTTGACAAAGATGAAGGAGGTAAAAGTGTGGATGTTAAATTATATAGGTCAATGATTGGTTCTTTGCTATATCTAACCGCAAGTAGATCGAACATTATGTTTAGTGTTTGCTTATGTGTTAGATTTCAATCTTTTCCTAAGGAATCACATCTACTAGCCGTTAAGAGAATCTTTAGATACCTTAAGAACACTCCTAGTTTAGGATTTTGGTATCCTAGAGACTCTAACTTTAGCTTGCATGCCTTCTCTGATGCGGATTATGGAGGATACAAAATAGATAGGAAAAGTACCTCTAGTACTTGTTAATTCCTAGGAAATATGCTGATTTCATGGTTTTCAAAGAAACAAAATTGTGTTGCATTATCTATCACTGAAGCGGAATACATTTCAGCCGGTAGTTGTTGTGCACATTTATGGATGAAACAACAACTTTTAGATTATGGAATTGAAGTTAGTACCATACCTATTAAGTGTGACAATACTAGTGCTATTTGTCTCACTAAAAATCCCATCCAACACTCTAGAACTAAGCATATTGAAATTAGACATCATTTCATTAGAGATCATGTCACAAAAGGAGATATAGTTCTAGAATATGTTGATAATTTGCATCAATTAGCAGATATCTTTACAAAACCTTTAGATAAAGAAAGATTTTGGACACTTGGGAGAGAATTAGGTTTGACCAACCTACCTTGACTTAGTGTTTAAAATAATTTTAGCATTTTTAATTATTCATGAAAAATGCTTATAAAAATAATATTTTTGATTACATTCTTTGCTAATAGTTAGGGGGAGTTTATGATTCTTAGTGAAAATTAATTATATGTTTAATAAAATTTAAGGATAGATTTGATTGATTGAACATTGTTAATTTTCGATCTTTGAGTTGCCAATACCACTAGAGCTAATTAATTTATCATTTTGAATATTTAAAAACGGATTTTAACATTTTTGTGTTCTATGCATCGATACACTATAAAAGTGTATCGATGCATCCCTTGAATATGCATCGATACACTATGAAGGTGCACCGATGCATTCTTTGAAGTTGCACCGTTGCATTCTTCGGGTTTTAGGCATATAATCCCTAAAATTCTTTATTTTGTCAAAAACCCTTAAAAACTCTTTGTCGCCGTTTACCTTCTCTCAACCCCTACTCTCGTTTTTGCTTAAAATCAACAAAATCTAGTCGGAATCCAACTGTTCTTCAACTTCTAAACCTGTTGGAATCATCAAATTCGTGAAAAAATAATCACATTCCTCTCAAATCCGAAAATCTTCAAGGTATTTTTCTAAAAACTACTATTTTATTAATCTTGAACTTGGGACTAGTTTTAATTAGTTCTAGGTTTAACTTTATATCGGACATTGATTATATAATGTGTATAAACTAGATTCTACAACTAATTTCATCAAAAACCCAAGATTTTTCAAAAAAAAATTCACAAATTTTGAAATAAAAAAATATTTTGATTTTAAAATTTGATGAATGGTTTGATTGAAACTATTGTTTTTCCCGGTTCTTGTGAGAGGCAGACTCAACCCTCCCTTGTGCAAGATTAGCACTGACAGATAGAGAATCAGGTTGATAATCGAACCCTTCAAGCTGAGTTTCAGCATCGACAAACATTGTAAAGATGTTGTCAAGTGACAACGTGTCACACATAGTAGATATGACTTCTATGAAGGGCTGATATTCCCTTGTAAGGCCTTTAAGAATGCTCGCAACATGTTCAGATACTGACACTAGACTTCCACAAGAGTTCAATGCATCAGCAACCTCTTTTACTTTTATGAGGTAAATTCTCATGGTGTCTCCTCCTTTCTTGAGGGATTGGAGCTTGTAATGTAAGCTCATAATAGCAGTGGCAGAACGATTAGCAAAGAATTGCAAGACTTTGTTCCATACCTGAGTAGATGTTTCAGCACCAACAAACTGAGGAAGTAAGTGGGGACTGACCATTGACAACAACCAAGAAGCCAACACACTGTCTTGAGCCAAGAACTCTTTATGTTCTTCATTGACAACTGCAACTCCTTCTTCACCAACCACCATTTCTAAAGGAGGCAGCATCGTTCCATTCAACATTCGCTAAAGACGGTGGCTTCTTACAGTGAGTAACACTTGTTGTTTCCAGAGCAGGAAATTCGTTTCATCAAGAACCACATTCACCCTTTTGTTGGTGAACACTTTGGTGTTTCTTGATGAGAACTCCATTGATGTGGCTGTAGAAGAAACACTTTGATCCATTGCAGCACGAACAGTGAAAGCACACCTTAGGATGTAGTAGCAAATGATACCATGTTGAGAGAGCTTGAAGCTCTTGTACTAAGCAAATTCCATTCAGAAGTAAACACTTTCTTTCTTATTATTAACATCATCCTTTACATGCATTATATAGCCACCACAGTTACAAGAACTTTAACAAGAATTCCAATTGACTACTCTAACAGGAACTCTAACTGACTAACAACCTAACTGTTGCAACTCCAAGAGCATATATCAGCTACACCTGCAGCTAGAACGATCCATGCACGTGAACCAGCAACCAGCCATGCAACTTCAACATGCTTCAACAAAATCAAGTTCGAATCAAATTTATCTAATTTAAATATTAACTGAACTTTAATAAAACTAAACTCGAAGTATATCCCATCTTATTTACAACCTTAATATCATATAGGACCCTAGTAGAGGAGTCTGCAATTGCATGGTAATTATAAAAAATAAGAAAAAGGGGCTTCCCCCATCTATCATAGTAATCAATTCCCAAAACAAAACCCATCCCATTCATGCCTACCTTCTTATCCACACCAAACATACCCCCTCCACCTTCATACACACCATAATTAATATCGCTTTTATTAATGTATTAGCCCAGCACAAACAATAAAACACGTTACATGCACGTGATCTTTATGGTCGCATGTAACTTTTAGCCTGTATATCTGGTTTTAGTCTCTGTAAATATACCACTAACTGTGTACTGTTAAAAGCATCCGTCACTTTCATGCACTGAACTTGAGCTTCAACCACCTTTGCTACCCACCACCAACTTAACAGTAAAGCCATGAAATTAAGCAAGAAAGAGGAGTTGAACTAATTTGTTTTAATTGAATTGAGTTGACTAATTAATTAATCGAAACAGCGAACTGAAGAATTGTTCTAGTGCTTACGTACAGAAAAAAAATTGTCCCAAAAAAACAAAGAAATTAAATAAAGGAATACATGGAACTTGGTTCCTACAAAGAACTAAATGAAGGGTTTTAGTTGTTTAGTTGACTTCAATTTTGGGTCGCATAAAGAAACATGGCTTCTTAGCAGGGTGTGGGCTTTCGACTTCATCATCGCCGGCAGCAGAGACAATGAAATTAGCCATTGAGAATTCCGGAAACGCGGGCATGTTGAGGTCAAAGCCTCGTTTGCTGATGTGGGTCGTGGTATTGGTTGAGCCAACTCCTTCAGATGTAGTAACGGCGCTGGCGCTATTCCCCGCCCCACCTTCGTAGTGGCATCGCTTATGGCCTCCCAAGGCCTGGCCTGTAGGGAAGGCTTTGTGGCAGACGGAACACTCGTGGGACCTCCCGCTTGGGTTGCTCGCCGCGGCTGAATTGATGACTCCACCGGATTTACCGGTTGTCGACGTTGACTGGTCGTCGTTGCTTCCCGAATGCTTACGGTGGCTGGCTTTATGTCCACCCAAAGCCTGGTAAGAGTTAAACGATTTGTTGCAAACGCTGCACTTGTAGCTCAGTTTCTTCGTGGGTTCCGGTGCTGGACTAGGAGAGCGGTGTCGACTTGGGTTGGTGGAAGATCCGCCGCGTGCTAGCATGATAAGACAGAGCGCTAAGTATTCTTCCTCGGTGGTAACTTGATCGAAACGCGGTCTCTTAGAGCGCTTACGCTTGGTAAGGGATTCCAAGCAGTGCAAGTTACTATCTTCAAAGGGAAAAGGAGGCGGGGCAGCGGTGGGAGAGCTAAGAGCTTCTAAAGCCATATTAAAAGGAAGAGTCTTACGGAGAGAGAGATGGTAAAGTTTGAAGCTTCGGGTTTGAGTAGAAGAGTGAGAGTGATGGGTTTTTAAAGGGGAGAATCGTAGGGGAAAGGAAGTTGCGTGACAAGTGGTGGGAAAGTAAAGCAAAGGTGGTTATTTGGGTGTGAGAGGGAAATAATCAATATAAAAGGGAGGTGGGGCACGTTTATTTGAGTTTTCTTGGTGGCTAAGAGGCAATTCCGGTCAAGTAAACCAAATTGAATCTATGAAGTAGTTCCATTGCAAGCCACTATGAGTTGTGTTTTCTTTTTTTTTAAAGTGAAAAAGACTTGGAAACCAAGACTATCTTAAAAGTCAAATACTCTCTTTCTCATAAGCGGTGCAGTTCGAGTCTATACCCAGATCTATACAATCTAAACTTAAAATAACTTTAAAATTTGATCCATATGATTCGAAATGGTTAAATTGTGGGAGAAGTTGCTTTAGTTTTGTTTTTGAGCGGGTAATAATAACATATGGTGGCGGTGAAACGTATGTAGACAAGAGTTTTGGCAGCAGATTTGGTTGGACTTTGAGTTGGTTGCCTGGCTTTCCGCTGCTTGCTACAGAAAATCGGCATTGGGCGATGAACACAAACTTAATGAATCAAATCTTCGCTCTATTAATTAACTTTATGCAAAGTTTGTACTTTGTAGTGTGCGAATCGATCTCAACTTGATAGCTAATATTTTCGTGTGAACAAAATAGGACCCATGCGGTTTTAAACATTAAAATTTAAAATTTTTTAATTTAATCCTTCGATTTTAAAGATTGAATTTATTTATCACTCTACGGTAGTAATTTTTGAAAAACATTTGTTGTGACATAATATTTTTAATTATTTTCTGAGTTGTTGCATAGGCATCAAGTAATATTTTATTAGTTCATGCTTTTCATTAACACCACCGGAATGAAACTATAGGCGACCAAGAGAGAGATCAACCAAACGAGCATTGGATTGAGCGTACTAGCGAGAAAGCCGGTGCGGACAACGGATCGATTAAGTCAGTGTCATAATTTTTGTGATTAATCTTTATTTAAAGATCTTAAAGATAGAAATATTTTTTTGGAGTGAGAAATAACATAGTTTTGTTTGAATTTCATTTAACAATCGATAATGGGGATTATAGAACAAGAAACTAAAATATTCAATGTTAAATTCGTGAAGCTTGAGGTGTTTTCATAATAAATAGAATCATATTTGTGTTCAGCGAGACAATGAATTTGGTGAAAAAATTTGGGATTCATCTGTCGTCATTTATGACAATTGATGTTGTGATTGATCATGATAAGCGATAGCGGAAACATAAGCAGATGAAAAGAAAATGAGCGGGAGAAAAAAAAAAGAAATGAAGAAGAAATGAAAGAAAAATTAGATTTTGTGTGAATTCACACATGGTTATGGTGTAAAGTTATTTTTCTCAAAACCATGACGATTTGATATCGGTATCATGTCATAACATAGATAATTATTTAATGAAAGAATGAAAAATATTTCAAAATTTTAGTGATTAAATTAAAAATTTTGAATTCCAATTATCAAAATAAAAAGAAAGTAAAATTGAATGATAAAAAATGTAATTTATCCATAAACCGTATTTATTGGGATCGGAAAACAACACGGAGTTTTTTCCTTTAAAAAGTTTCTGTATTAATATTATATATGCGTTATGTCATTGGTTATATTTAATGTATGGTGTGAATGATAATAATTTAGTTTAAAAAATTGGGATCTGTTAGGAATGATTAATAACGAAGGCTATAGACTTGCGGTTAACATGAAATTTGGGCTGAAACTTATGTAATTGCTCACATGTTAGTTAAGGGTTTGGTTCTTTGAATTGATTGAACACGTGGGAAATTTTTACAGTTAAGATTTTTTTTTTTGGAAAAGCAAAAACAAAAAGATGGATGACCAAACACATTCACTGTATTAAGACAAATCTATTTACTTGAAAAAACAGTTAGATAATTTCATATCTATTTTATTTATTTATTTATTTGAAAATTTAATATCTAAAACAACATTTTAAGATAATTTCATTACCATTTTAGCTTCAAAATATACCTGCAACATCATAGATCAGCTGGGGAAGGTAAAAAAAAAAAAAGCCCGCCTTAAGTCATTGCTTACATAACGAAATAGTGTTTAATTTTACGAACTTTTTAGTTGAGTTTCAGTTCAGCTACGAAACCTGGATGCAGAAACAGAGGCATGAGTTTATCGTTTTATATTTTAGGGTAAATTACACGTTTAGTAACTAAACTATCATTTTTGATCTATTTTAATACCTAAACTTTCATTTTTTTCAAACTTAAACCATGCCGTTAAAAACTTAACGGATGGGTTGAAGTTGTATAATTCCGACGGACGGACGATCAATTTGAATGGTGCACCACGAGAGAATGACGAGACGATCAACATAATCCAGTTTCAGGTCCATCAACGGTGAACCATGGAGACCGAGGATGAAGAAATCGAAGAGACCACGACGATTTGAGGAGATTGAGACATTTTCCAGTGGAATGGAGGTTGGAATTGTGTTTAGGGGGTCGAAAATGTGCAGGCTGTAAAGTTTGGGCTTCATCGACCGATGGATACGATGATTGACGACTGTAGACACAGCGGTCGGCGAGCCCGTCCGTAAGTTTTTAACGACGTGTATTAAAATAAACAAAAAATAAATGTTAGATATGATTTTGAATAAAATGAAAGTTTAACTACTAAAATAAATCAAAACTGATAATTTAGATACTAAACACGTAATTTACCTATATTTTATTGAAAGCCGTCGCTGGTAAGAGTCGATGAACTTATCGCATATTTTAAAACCCAACACTGCAAAGTTATTTAAGAAAATGAAAGGCATGTGGGTTTATTTTAAGCTTTCAATGTTCCGTTTTATAGGCCAAACTAGTTTTTGTCTGATCTGCATATTTTATTTTTGCTCTACTTTATTTTGGTGACTGACTCATTAACTCTTGTTAGTTAGTTGATGATATTGCACATTCATAAAAAAAGTTGATTTTTAATTTAGTCCTAAACTTTATACATAATACTAATATGATCTCATATTTTAAATAAAATATAGTTTTATCTTTAAATCCATTCAAAATATCTCGTGCCCAATTGCTCACCACCATCGGGAGTTACTGTCTCTAATGATTTGGTTTATATGATAAACAAAAATAGAGGCTCTCATCATGTAATCGAAAACGTGAAGAAACATTAACCCAAGATTACATTGCCATTTGATTTTATTTTACACCAGGTTGATTACTCATTATAATATATTGAATTGGTTTTATTACGCTTCAAATTACAAAATAAATAAATAAAGAGATTACACTTGGAGAATATGCTATTCATGTTTTATATTTTTGCTTTCCCTTTGTTTTGAATTTATAGATTAAAGTACACATCATACTTACAATTATAAAGCTTCAACATTTTAGCGAAGAGACTAGAGGGAGTATATTGCATCTCTTCTCTCATCTTCAAAATTTATCAACCATATAATATGTAGCATTTGATTTCCAAGGACTAGCTTCACTTGCTTTGTATGGTGTATATACTCTTTTTTTTATACGGTTATATGCATAGCCGACTCAAAAAAATTCGGGCCTATGAGCAAAAAAAAATAGACTTCTATAGAAAGAAAGTATAATCCATTATTTAATATAAATCTATCAAGCAACCTTAATAGTTAAAGAGAGTATTGTTCTTCTTACAGGTCTTGAGTTTGAATAGCAATATCTGGGTGTGTGTGTGTTTTTTTTTTTTGGATCGGCAGGATAAAATTTTATTAAGAATGAAGCTGACTTGGTTATATGCCTCCTTAAACCCCCCAAACTTAAGTGGGAAAAGAGTACATATAACCAATAGAAACAAGGAAGACATAAAACCAGAATTGCACTAGTTCTGTACTAACAAAACACAAAATTTGACGGTAAAAAACTAAGCAGGAGCTGGGTTATAACTTAGACGCAACAAGCAATATACGAACAATACAGGATTCCCAAAAACGAGACAAAATCCCCCTCTTACAGCAGCTCAAAACGCACAAATAGACACATAAATACCAAAGCAGACTAGTTGGTACAAGATATCAAAGGAAAAAAAATATGTTGCAAGTCATCAACCCAGAGCAAAGCCCCTATCAAAGATCAAGCAGTCAAAAGGCTCAACACTACCACCAAGCTATAAACAACATAGGCCTTGTCAATCCGAAGTTTGCCAACCAATCAGCCATTGAAGGACAAGACGATGGAGCCAGTTTGAAAGTTACCTTTTCAAATAGCATTACCTTCTTGTGGGATTTTAACTCTGCTTGATCCTGCAAACTTAAGACTCCCATATTCCCAGATTCTTCCAAATCATTAACCTTTTCTTCAAGCATCTTCACCTTGGAATTAAAGTTTTCACAAAATTGAGAATTCCATCTCTTCATAATTCCTTTTAACCTCTTCAGTCTAAGAATAATGTCCAACTTACGCCCCGGAACAATTAATTTGAAACACTTCCTCAATCAGCTTTCTACAGACATTCTTCCTAAGCCTTCCATTAATAAACTTGAATGGTCTAGAACCCCAAACCAAGCTACCATCGATTACTAACACCAGCGCATGATCCGAACATATTCTTTTAAGGCTTGTTTGTTCGAGAACCCCACCACTGAGAACCCACTGTTCATCCACAAGGAATCTGTCTAACCTGCTACGTTTGTTGGCCAGACCGAACCAAATAATTTTTTTCCCAATCATCAGAAAATCAACCAAACTACGGACATAAATAGAGTCGTTGAATTGCTTACTCCCATACAGTAATCCCACACAATCACTACGTTCACTTCTGTTCCTAACCACATTTAAATCTCCACGTACTAGCCACATGTTGGAATCTGAATTTCTCAATCCTGATTCCACCCAGACACCGGATACACAGACAACACACTGGCTTGCTACTGAATTTTCCAACGAAAACAA